AAGGTCTTTCATATAAAAATATATTTTTAGCAGAGATTTTATTAATTTTCTTCGGTTATATTTAGGTTAAGCAGAGTTATGCACCATAAAAAGGTGCAAATTCTCTCGGAGACCATAAGGTCCATTGTGATTTCCTTCAAAGAGTGAAGATTGAAAGACAAAGAAACAAAACAACTATAAGAAAACAAGAAGGAAAGAAGAAGAGGATAGATGAATAGAAACTGGTCCATTCTCAAAGGATTACAACCCAGAAGATATACCAAGTTATTACCCTAAAGAAGTAAATCTATGTTCCCCTATAAAGACCAGTCAAAGAAGTGTCTAATTCCATTGACAAAACTGCCATTTCAGCCTGAAATTTTGTATCCTAGGACAGTGGCAAAGTATATGGTCGATCGTCTCTACCTTCTCCTCATTTTCATAGTTACTGACAAAGGCCCTAACTGAGCAATGACCCATTAGCATCCCATCATCAAAATCCTTAGACTGCGTTTATTCGGTCCTTTATTTTGGTAGCCCACATATCAAGTGTTGGCCATAGGGGCTTTGATATTATGCAATTTACTTTGTTTCCATATAGCGAATCGGCAAATTATAGGAGTGGTCGTAGGACCATTCATGCTTACATATCGTCACCTAAAACGCAAAGGGCCCTATCTAACATTTTTAAAATTTTACAGGAGAAACAATAAACTATTGAAATTGAAAAGTTTGTTTCTATCAACGCGATTTATTTGTAGTAAATAAACAAATTGTTTAATAGCGAAACATATCAGTTGTTATGATAGTTGACAATGGCGTATATCAAAATGGATAAATTGGACTTTTTACCTTTAATATTTAAATGTTTTTTGCCAATAAAATCGCTAATTTTGGTCCATTTTGTGTGGACATTTGTTTTGATGCAATAAATTATAATCAACAATAAAATCGATTTTGAATTTTTGGTTATTTAGGGCCGTTTGCGTTTCAGGTTACGTTATGTATATAAAAATTCGTTTTGCCTATTTTTGTAGGAATATTTGTATATTTGGCATATTGATGAGCTCCAAAACACAATTTAGGGGGTCCAGTTATATGGGGGCTAGGTAAAATAATGGACCGACATCAACCAAAATCAATAGAATTCGCAATTGCCTAAAAAGTAATACGTGTTCTAAATATCATCGATTATCTTCAAAATTGCGACCTGTAGTTTGATTACTAGGCTTAATCGAAAATTATTCTAAGCCGACGACATTTTTTATAGTGCTCGATGAGGAGATTCTATATACGAAATTTTTTTTAAATCGGAACTCAAATGAAGAAATAGGATCGTTTTAAAAATTTAACATAGCCGAGGTGTCCTAATTTGAGGACCCTCCGCCGGGCCCCTGGTTGGCCTATAAGGTCCAAATTCAAAACCTAAACTCGACAACACCTCCTCTTTGTGCATACCAAATTTCATTAAAATCGGATTAACCGTTTAGAAGTTACCGAATTATTTCCCTCTTTTTTTTTTCCTATACCACTGTGCGTTATTTAAGAATCAACTGCTGATTTAAGGTCTTTCATATAAAAATATATTTTTAGCAGAGATTTTATTAATTTTCTTCGGTTATATTTAGGTTAAGCAGAGTTATGCACCATAAAAAGGTGCAAATTCTCTCGGAGACCATAAGGTCCATTGTGATTTCCTTCAAAGAGTGAAGATTGAAAGACAAAGAAACAAAACAACTATAAGAAAACAAGAAGGAAAGAAGAAGAGGATAGATGAATAGAAACTGGTCCATTCTCAAAGGATTACAACCCAGAAGATATACCAAGTTATTACCCTAAAGAAGTAAATCTATGTTCCCCTATAAAGACCAGTCAAAGAAGTGTCTAATTCCATTGACAAAACTGCCATTTCAGCCTGAAATTTTGTATCCTAGGACAGTGGCAAAGTATATGGTCGATCGTCTCTACCTTCTCCTCATTTTCATAGTTACTGACAAAGGCCCTAACTGAGCAATGACCCATTAGCATCCCATCATCAAAATCCTTAGACTGCGTTTATTCGGTCCTTTATTTTGGTAGCCCACATATCAAGTGTTGGCCATAGGGGCTTTGATATTATGCAATTTACTTTGTTTCCATATAGCGAATCGGCAAATTATAGGAGTGGTCGTAGGACCATTCATGCTTACATATCGTCACCTAAAACGCAAAGGGCCCTATCTAACATTTTTAAAATTTTACAGGAGAAACAATAAACTATTGAAATTGAAAAGTTTGTTTCTATCAACGCGATTTATTTGTAGTAAATAAACAAATTGTTTAATAGCGAAACATATCAGTTGTTATGATAGTTGACAATGGCGTATATCAAAATGGATAAATTGGACTTTTTACCTTTAATATTTAAATGTTTTTTGCCAATAAAATCGCTAATTTTGGTCCATTTTGTGTGGACATTTGTTTTGATGCAATAAATTATAATCAACAATAAAATCGATTTTGAATTTTTGGTTATTTAGGGCCGTTTGCGTTTCAGGTTACGTTATGTATATAAAAATTCGTTTTGCCTATTTTTGTAGGAATATTTGTATATTTGGCATATTGATGAGCTCCAAAACACAATTTAGGGGGTCCAGTTATATGGGGGCTAGGTAAAATAATGGACCGACATCAACCAAAATCAATAGAATTCGCAATTGCCTAAAAAGTAATACGTGTTCTAAATATCATCGATTATCTTCAAAATTGCGACCTGTAGTTTGATTACTAGGCTTAATCGAAAATTATTCTAAGCCGAATCGTATAATTAAAAGTGGGTATATGACCATTAATTCTATGTTTTACATACATTAGCACCAATTCACTAAAGTGGTGTACGGTATAATTAGAATGAGTGTGTCTGTTACTTTTTTGACCAAAATCCTTAATTTCCAAAAAAATCGGTGCAAAATTACGCCCACGCCCATATATCCCAAAACTATATGTTTCATCAGAATGTATTCCAAATTAGGCTATAAGTTTTTGATAAGATAATAAACTAAACTCCTCAATTAGAAGAAAATAGGTACAAGGACACGCTCACCTCTCATTTAATCTAAAGTATAAAAACATCATTCTGCCTAAATGTTTGAGGAGTGATCGTAGAACTTGAAATTTGATATGTTAGCCTCTGATAAAAAAAGTGAAATTTAAAAAAATCGGTGCAAGGACACGCCTACCTCCCATAGAAACTAAAAAAACGTTTAAGCATTTACATTTTTCATCAGTATACATTCAAATTTAGAATATATGGCAACTAGAGATGAGCGATATTTTCACGACTGTGATTTAATCACGGTGATTAATAATTCACTGGTAGCTATTGTGACTGAAATGATCAAATAATAGTTACTTGCAATGACGTTCTTTAGTTGCATTGCCAGCTTCAAAATAAGAGAATGATTTCAGTCTAGAAATGATCACTGGACATTCATGCATTCATTATTTATAAAGTTTCCATGCTATTGCTTAAAAACGTCCAGTATTCACATCATTTGGGCAACTGGCAATGCAACTGAAATGGAAACCGAGATATATAATCGACCCATAAAAAATCCTGAATGTATAAATGTCCAAGACTGTATAATAGAACTCATCTCATATGACTTCGTCCTTATGACAAAACAGTTGTGCCTGTTAAATATCGTAAAATTTACTTATAAATCGCGACCTTTATCGTGCGCACAACTAGACTTGTAATTGATATATGGGGTTTAGAAACTACATCAGTTAGATTAGACATTATTGACGTTTTAAAAATCTTTTTAATATCTAACAGAATTGTTGTTATAAATCATAAAATGACTTACCTTATTTTACTGAATACATACTGAGGGAATATATGCAATGTAATTTTATTAAATCTGAAACACCATTGAGTCCTTCTGCTAGAGATTATTGCACTTTGTCTACGTTTTAAATCAAACACAACTAAATTCATCACTTCTTGCTTACATATATTACAAAGTACTCTCTAAATAAGTTATTTTCAACCGTTTATGATTTCATTATAAAAAGATTTTTATTAAAAATTTTTCTCTACTCTGTAAAATTCAACACTTTCGCAGATGAAATTTTTTTAATAAGCGAAATAGCGGTAAAATGTTTGACATATAAAACAAACAAAAAAATGGTAAATAAAATCATGTTGCCATATACTAACCAAAACAATTAATTTTGAACTGGCAATACTGTCACTAAACTTTAAAAATGTATTTGCTTTTGTAATTAAAAATTTAAAAAAATTAGACAAGCAATCATTGTTTAACCCAAAAATATTATTTTTGTGAATAAATTATTTTATATTGATAAAAGAAATATTAAAAATTTCATGTTTTCTGTATGCAATTCGAATGATAGCAACATTTTAAACATCATTGCCATATGTAAAGTACGTATAAACAAACTATTTCTTACATCTGGCAGTACCCTACAAATGTGCATTTGACATTTTGCTTTGTCGTCACGTGCATTCAAAAAACAGCTGCAGTAGAAGAATAAACACGATAATTAACAAATAATACAAAAAAATAATGTCAGGTTTTCAACATTCGGTAAAAGTGCCCACACAATACAAGAGGGTTGCAGCCATATTAAAAACTGCATTGGAAAATCGTCAAAAATCTTTAAAAACTTTAATTTATGAAGAAAAACATGCTGTAAGTAGCAAATAAAACAAACATTTACAATAACACGTGCTAAATACAATATAAAATGAATTTCATTACAGCGCATTGGTAGCATGCAAGCAGTGTTAAAACAGTATATAGACAATCGTGGAGCCATAGACGCAGCTATTGAAGAGACAAAAATCCTAGAAGACAATCCCCGTTTAAATCCCGCCTTGTGTAAAATTCTGGTAACAGAATTGATATTTGGACGCAAAACGTTAAACGGAGAATCGAAGCCAGTACAAACTGTACGTGAATATAGAGATCGCTTAGTAGAAGCTTTGGGCGGTGAATCAAACACAACAGAAACAAAGAAAAAAGGCAAGATTTTCTTAAATATTTATACAATTTGAACAAATTGAAAGAAATTAAAAAAATATGGGCAAAAATAAGCTAAATGTTCCGGCCAACAAGCCTCAAAAAGATGAAACGCAACTTTTGCAGCAACAAGAGGACGATAATTTAGAACCTGTTGCTCAGGTTTATGCAGGCGACGAAGAGGATACCAGCACTTCTGCATATCTATGGCTTTTGGTATTTTCCGTTTTAATGTTTACCTTTCCGTTTCTCACTTTCTACGGTGTTCGCTCTTGGCTAGATGAATCATTCGAGTTTAGCACTTTTCAAACCAATTGTTTCTCAGTATTGGCCTCAGTAATCGTAGTCAATTTCATTATATGCTTATACGTTTACAAAGCTTTCCGTGAAGGCGGTATTACTATCTCAAAACCAGCGGCAATCGAGGTTGCTGAAGAATCTAAGAAAGAAAACTAAATATTGGACTGCAGCAAACCATTTTTTTATATTATAACTATTTTTTAAATAAAATAGAATACACTCACTTTAAACTATAAATTCATTCCTTTTTATTAATAAAAAAATTATAATCACGATATTTGCATAAATTAACCGACTTTTCTTTTTGCCTATTGTTCCTGTTCTGTAGATCTAAAGCCTCGTTATGTTCGAGTCAATACAAATTTGCTTAGCATGGAGGAAGTCCATACTATGTTGGCCCAGGAAGAGTTTCGCAAATTGGATCTACCACCTTTTGAGAATTATGAAGATTTCTTGAAAGCCATACAGGATTTAAAAGAAGAAGAATATCTATTGGATATGCATGTTGATAATTTGTTGATTTTCCATCCGAAAAATAAACATTATTTGGCTTGTCATCAATACACCAAGGATAGAAAGTTTATGTTGCAGGATAAGGTTGGTGAAGTTTTAATTGATCCTTAAATATGAGTAATATAACTTTCGATTCTTTTGCAGGGCACTTGCTTGGTAGCAGAACTTCTACACCCACCGGTGGGTTCTACAGTTTTGGACATGTGTGCGGCACCCGGTATGAAAACCATACACACTTGCAATGTTTTACAAAATAAAGGCACCATATATTCTGTGGAACAAAATCCTGAACGTTATCGTGTACTTTGCAATATGACCGAATCGGCAGGCTGTAAAATAGTGCAACCTATTAAGGGAGACGCTCTCACTATAACGCCCGAACAATGCCCGGGAGTTGAGTACATACTAGTAGATCCCTCTTGCACCGGTTCGGGTATACAGAATCGTCTCTCTTTAGAACCTGAAGAAAAATCTCCCGAACGTCTTAAGAAATTGGCTGGTTTACAAATTAAAATGCTGTCTTATGCTATGTCCACATTTCCGGATGTTAAGCGCATTGCCTATTCGACCTGTTCGCTGTACGAAGAAGAAAACGAACAAGTTGTTCAAAAGTGTTTACAATTAAATCCGAATTTCAAGTTGTTGAGTGGCAAAAAAGCTTTGCGCAACAAATGGCGTAGTGTTGGCAGTTCAGAATATAAGAAAATTGGCAAAAATTGTATTTATACGCGTCCGGACGAGGATTTGACTGATGGTATTTTCATTGCTATATTTGAGAAATGTAGCAGTGCAGACGAAGAGTAATGTACTGGAAATTTTCAATATTATTTTTTAAGATTTTTTATGGGTAATTTTATGCTTTGAAGTGCATATATACATTTATGCATAAGATTTGATTGTTAAATAAAAAATTTTTATATAAAAATTTTCCCCTTCAGTGGGACATTAAAAAAATGTGTTTTCATAATTCTTCACGATTTCACATACATAATTATTTTTTCAAATTAAATTAATACAAGCCGAAAAATTTTAAAAAATTCAATACCAAGGGACGAATCTGATCTCATATTAGACAATAACATGAAGATATATTAGCCTTACGATTGAATAGATAGATAGATAGATCTTATTCGATATTGAATCTCATCGTCTCAAATAGGAAAATTACAATCAATTTTACTTCATAATATACATATGTACTTATGTGTTAAACCTACAGATCTTAAAACGAATACATCAAAGAAAGTAAGTGAATCTCATGATGATCATTATCATCTTTTTCATTTCAACATAATATGGTTAACAAATTAAAACAAACAATTTTAACTGTTCAGTAATACAAAAAAAAGAAATACATTTATTTTAATAAAAACTTAATGTAATTGTTACAAATCTATTATTAATTTGCTGTTCATTTGTAATTTTAACGACACTTCAAATATTACATAAAGTATTGAAACTATGTATACGAGTGTGTAAATTTAAAATAAATTATTTAAACATAAATAAACCATTTAAAAAAAATAAATCAAAATTAAAAAAACACAATTTTAAATCGATTTCAAAATTAATACAAAAAAAAAAAATGAACGAATAGAACACAATAGTTCATAGAATGATTACTCATTATAATAACTGCTATAAAGCGAAATCTTCTGAAAATCGTGTACTAATAAAGAAGATATATTGTTAAATAATAAGTCAAATTTTGATCTTTTAATTTAAATTTAAAATCATAAAAAGGTTAAAAAAACATAATAAGAAAACTTGTTAAATTGTTAAGTTATTAGAGATAAATCAAGTATTTTTTTAAATATAATTTTAATGTAAACAAAACAAAAATTAAAATCGAATTCTCTTTTGATCAACAAATAGAGAAATAAAAATTAACATCATTTTGGTATTAAAAATTAATAAAATTGCAGATTTTTGATATTTTTAAATTCATCATTTGTGTAATAAATTAACATATTTTAGAATATTTTAATTGTTTATATATAAAATAGGGTTTTAAAAAAATTAAACAAATTGATTTTGTTTAAAATGTTATAAATATATAAATTATATATTAAAACTTATTGACTAATATTAATAACGATAACGCATCTAGCGTTTGAAAAGATTTTTTTTAACTTTTAGTTAAAACAAATTTAAAATTTGAATTCAGTTTTCATTTTTTTTTTTTTTTTTTTTCTTTTTTTAATAAATAAAATAAATTTTTATATGATTTTTTTATGCGAATATATATCAAATTTAACTTGATATTAACTTTCGCAAAACGATAATAAAATCAATACGATTTGATTTCATTTTTAAACTTTCATTTGTTGTTTGTAGTAGGTGTCCTTGGCTAAACGGAACGATTCCGCTTTAATGGCATCTTCCATTGTTATAATGGGTTTTTGTGGACAATACTTGACAGTATGTGCCATATCTCCGGATGCTTTGCAAATTGGACATATGTAGGTTCGTAATTTTGGGCAGAGAACTCTGCCTAAAGAATCACGCACGGCATGAGACTTTACAACGGCCTCGGGTTCATTATTATTTTCACAGAAAACACAATGTTTGGCCGAAGACTGTCAATAACAAAAGTAAATTAATATTTAATTGAAAAAGAAATAGTTATCTACTTACATATTTTTCATTTTTGTTGCCATAACGTTTTGGCAACTTCTTTTGATTACAATTATAATCAATGTTAACAGCTGCTGCAGCTGTAGCCGCTGCGGCGGCAGCAGCAGCTGCTGAAACTGCATTCGAATGTTGCTGCATATGACTGGGCAACATTTTCCAAAAATTATTATTGAAATTTATATTGAGATTATGTTGCTGCAACTGCTGTTGCAATTGTTGTTGATTTAAGGTTGCTGCAGCAGCAACAGCAGCTGCTGCTGCTGCATTTGAACTAGCAATTCCACTGTTGGGCTGATGTTGACCATTGGAAGTAGAATTGTGTAGATTGGCAGCTGTAGCAGTTGAGGTATTATTAGTTAAATTCATACCCAACTGATAGCGATTTAATTCATCACAAATATAACCATTACAAGCAAAATCTTGCATTACAGCATCCACTGGAGAATGTGTGGATAGTTGTTGTTGTTGTTGCGGTGTAATGGTGGGTGTTTCTGTAAGATGGGAAATTAGAAAATTAAATCATTTGTGTGAATCTATCTATCTATCTATCTATCTATCTATCTATCTATCTATCTATCTATCTATCTATCTATCTATCTATCTATCTATCTATCTATCTATCTATCTATCTATCTATCTATATATCTATCTATCTATCTATCTATCTATCTATCTATCTATCTATCTATCTATCTATCTATCTATTTCTAGGTAACGGACTAACCAATCAACCAATTGTTTGTATGTACATACATTTCTACATACAAATGTACAACGGTGCGCAGGATTATATATGTGAAAGTCTTACAGGTTCAGTGGAAATTTATATAAAAAAATCATATTTCTTTCTTCTTTCTAAACAACACTAAAATGTATTAGATCGTAAATATTCATTCTAACCTCAAAACAAAAAATGTTTTGCTCTGTTAAACTTAACATTCGCAAAATTCTTAGAAAAAGGAAATAGAAAATCAATTAAAGTATAAATTCTTACAGCAGAGAGCGTTAACAACAATAAGAAACAATAATTCTAAGAAATGTTAAAAAAAAAAATAAAGCATTTCCTTGAAATTTATTTATATGCATAAAACGAATTAAAACTTACCATTAGAATAGGCTGTTAGCATGGCAAACATTTTAAGAGATTTGGAAATTTCATCCTGTTGTTGTTGGCTAGTTGTGGAAGAACCTCCTATATTGCTACCATTAGCAAGAGCTGTCGATGACTGTTGATTGCCAGCGGCAGCAGCAGCAGCCATAGCCAATTGATGTTGTGCTACTGCAGCAGCCGCTAAATGTTGCTGATGAGCCGCCAACAATTGTTGCTGTTGTATAGCTGTCATATTTTCAAAACCAATACTGCCTAATCCACCACTGCCAGTCGGTGAGGAGCTGGAAGTATTAGAAGAATGGCAGGCAGATGAGTTTGGCGGCGACATTGAAACTGGTGAAAGCAGTAAGGAGCCGGTGGCTGATGTGCCATTTGATGAGGTTGGTGAAATGCTGGGTGATGATGTTGTTGAACCGGCAGCTGCTAAAGAGGCACATGTATCCAAGTACATTTCTTGGAAGCACTTCATGTTTAAGCCTAATAAATTCGTAAATGTTTCAGCATTTTGCTAAGGAGGAATAAAATTATTACACACACATAAAAGAAAATATAACTGTTTTTTAATCTTCCCTCCTCCTTTTCCCTTGTTTTTTCTTAACTTACCATATTACTTTCTGGGCTGCTGCGGTACATGACGTCAGCACTCTGCATTTATTTCTTGGAATTAATAGCAATCCAACAACACAAATTCCGTTAGGTTTCTTCTTTTCCAATTCCTTTGTTTTATACAGATCAATTTTTCTATGATTTTCTGTAATAGTTTTTTGTTAAATATTTTTATTATTTTATTTTGTTTAAATAATTTTTTGGTTTTGTTGAATTTGTATGGTGTCGTTTGTAGCGCAGTTTTTCTGAATTTATTTTTATTATTTTCCTTTTTTCCGAAAATATTTTTCACCGTGCGCTGTGTCGTTTTTGCAAATTAAAATAAACTCGTTTGATTTCGCGTTGATATTTAAATTCCTTTGAAAAAGGGATTTTATAACTGCATTTTTTAGATCAAGTGTTGGAAAATGTTTGGAGAGGAATTTTTTAATATAATTTTTTGTTATCGATATGTTTGTAAAATAACGATGACAATTTTGTTGAAATTTAAGAAAAATTAAAAAACATGTTTTTTAAATTTTCTTCAAAATATTGGAATTATAAAACGTTTTGAAATGGAATGGACTAACTAACTATCGACTTTGGTTACTTTTTGTATATAAAAAACATATGTTATAATAAACTCAGTTATAACGAATCCTCGGACAGAACAACCTACTCTTTCACTCCCTCAAATAGAATTTCATAAAATTTTCCTTTATTTTCTAACAAACTTCAAAAATTATGTGTTGAAATCAGAAGAAAATATTCAGCTTTGTTTGAAAAAACTTAAATAAGTTAGGAAATTCATGAACAAGTAAAATCAATCAGGGTGTTTTTTTGTTAAGAATGTGAAATAAATTCATAATTTATATTCTTTTATTTCTTGTAAAATAACTTTTACGCAGTCTTATATAGCACACTATAGGTCTTCAATGATGTATTTCTTATTTTAAAATAATTCCCCCCAAAAATAGTAACAGTTTTTTAAATCCGTATAACATCTCTGTTTCTTATTAGTAATAAACTAATAACATATATATAAAAGCTCTTTGCGCTGACAACCTATTTCATAGTTGTCAATTTTTTTCTGCTATCTCCCCCAGAGAACTGAGTTGATTGGACTTAAAGCCGATAAAGCCTAGCCGCCAAACAAAATGTCAAAGCGGCCGGCGACGAAAATTTTTCAGCTTAAGACGTCATGAAAATTTCGCTATATTGTGAATAATTTACAGAGAATTTTACAATATGAAATTAATTTATTTTAATTTAAAAAAGTTTTCTTTTATCTAATAATAAGCCGCTCATTGAAATTTGGACGTCGTAAAACTTTGTTCAACGTTCGATGTACATGTTTTCCTCACATAATTTCGACTTTACGCGTGGCTAACGTCAAAGCTTTGTTTGAAGCGTCGGCACCAAAATTGTACTACGAATACCAAGATTTCCTACTCTGGTAGCCAATCCCGATTTTTAATATACATTTTTGCCAGGGTTGGCAAAATTTGTACAATTGTTCCTTTGGTTGGTACAATTCGATCTTCAAAAGTACAATGGTACACCATTTTAAAATATACAATTTTAAAATATATTGCCTTACCCCCATTATCTTAATGTCTGGTTATATTTGATCGTTAGGTTAAACTGACAGTTTTCATACAAAAATTATTTTAACCGGCATAATATCTACCGGTTAAACGATAACCGGAGTTGGTGTTAACGGGGGTTATTGGAATAAACATTTGAGCATTTTACTTTTAACATAAAGTTCATTGAACTACCGACTTCGGTCAAATTTTTACTAAACGTCGGAAAAGGATATTATAAAAAATCCTGGAAGAGTTTATAACTAGACAACATTTAATAAAGATTATTTAGGATTATTTTTTTATCCGATCGCTCTTCTATTCTTTGGACTAGAATAGAATCTATAGACTAGAAAATAAATTAATGCTATGATTCCACTGAGGCGTTTTGATCAAATCTAGTGGATTTGGGCAAAACTAGATAGTATATCAATGACTATTCTATAAAGATTTTGGACTAGTATAAAAATACTAGTTTATTGTCTAGTTATAGACTATGGTCTATATTTTTTGCAATAACGTAAATTTGGTACAATCGGATTCAAAAAAGTACACTTTTTAATGCTATTTTGTACAATTTGAAAATTCCATTTGAAATCCTTGATATTTCAAAATCCCACTTTTTAATCTCTCGGATTCCGTTTTAATTTAAAAAATCTTTTTTTTTTTTACTTATTTGTAGAATTTTTTGTTTACTTTTATTTGATATTTGTATTTATTTTAATTTAATTTAGATTTATTTTTATTTTAAGAGCTTTCCTCTTTAAAAATGTTAGCTTCGGAAGCAAGAGCGTATTCACTATTACATTAATTTCAATTAATAGTTTTAACACTTAAATTATTGTAAAAGCTTGGTGCTTAAACACATTATTGTAAATTAGGATAATACATTATAGTCTTAATGCTATGTTACCACTGGCTTGAAATCTACTAGATTTGCCATACCTCCTCAAGGTGTTTCCACTGAAATTACTGGTTTTTGATATTCGAATTTTCGAATAAATTTTGTCATTTTAATTTAATATTTACACAAAAAAGTTAATTTTCTTTGAAATTACTCATTAAAAATATATAATAAAGGTTGTAAATGTATAGATTTATTTCTTAAATGCCACCAATTTAAAATTGATAATTTTTTATTTTTTTATTTCGAAATTAAATGTAATTTTTTGACAAAAACATTGAATTTAAATGGATAGCCTATAATGACTTGTTCAAATAAATACATTTTAAACATGTTTTAAATGAAACCTAGCAGATTAAGTAGATTTGGATGTGTCAGAAATGTATGGCAAATCTACATGACTTCAACTAATTTTGCCCAAATCAACTAGATTTGCTCAAAACGCCTCAGTGGAAACATGGTATAAGTGTTCATATGTTATTTGTTTAAAATAGATTCATTATATCAAAAATGGGTCAATAACTATTAATATTAACATTAAAAAATCGTTGAAAATTTAAAAATATTGGCCTCCGGTAAATTAGTGGTTAGCGTTCTAGTCTGGTAGACCGGAGGGTGGGTTAGATTACCACTGGAGGCACTGGTTAATGAGAGCACAACAGCCCCGATAGAGGTGTATTACTTCGGATTTGATTTATATACATCCTACTACTAACTAGCCGGCTTACAATTGATTTTAAGACGGCGCCGTTAATATTTATCGGCGCAGTGCTCATACTCCCCCTTCAAATGATAACAGTGACACTGACAGTTCAACAGGCATGAGTTTAGTAGGAAAAGAATAATTTCTACCTTACGAATCGAAAAAATTACATAAATACGAATTCATTAGGAATTTTATGTAGTAAAATATCTAAAAAATAAATAAAAACTAAGTTTACAATAGAAATTTTACATAATGGTAAGTGAAGTGATGAAATTTCAGTGAAAAATCAGTAAATTAACCATTAATAGTGAGCGATAATAGGTTAAATTATGTGCTGAACAGTGGTATAAAAGATTAATAAATTTTCTTCAAATTTTTCAGTACAAATTTTTGACTTTAACCAGAGGCAATAAAAGCTTATTTGTGGGTAAACAATGTCTGCAAGTGGTACAGAATCAGGTGAGTAAATTATAGGTATAAGTTGTTTGTTTTCGGTTATTGTCAAATTCCAAGTGGTGTATATCATACGATTGTTTGTAATCATCATGTTAAAATAAGTCAAAATGTTATCCCCTATTGAGACAATAACAGTGTGATATATATGTAGGTATATCGTATTTAAGATTCTCAGATATTTTCGTTTAAAATTTCACCGGTTTAACATGATGTTGAAATATAACCCTCAAGTTTAAGAATTTCAAGTTTTCTTCTTGTCCTAATTGTACTACATACAGACATTGTGCATGTTTTCCGTTTCCAATATATATAAAATCCTATCTTATTTATTTTTTTTCTAGCGTTGGTACTCCCAACCTGGCAGACGGCCCGGCTTCTTTTCACAATTCATCGATAATATCAAAAACGAAATGGACAAAAATAAAGAAATGAAAGAAAGCATTAAGAAATTCCGTGAAGAAGCTCAAAAACTTGAACAATCCGAAGCCCTACAATCGGCCAGACAAAAATTCAATATTGTCGAATCTGAAGCTCAAAAATCATCGTCCATTTTAAAAGAACAATTGGGTTCTATCAAGGAAAAGGTAAGCGATGTATTGGAAGAGGCTGGTAAAACAGAAATTGCTCAAAAAGCTTCCAAAATAACAGAGGAAATTTCGAAACAAGCTAAAACGGCCAAAGAAACCATCTCAGAAAAGGGTGAGAAAATTGGACAGACTTCAGCATTTCAAGCGATATCGGATACAACAAAAATGATCAAACAAGAAATGGATGCACAAAGTATAAATTCCCGAGTTTATAGATCGCCTGCACGCCTTCGTAAACGTAAAGAAGTTGAGTTTGCTGCTGATGAACGTGTCGTTGAACCTAATATGGAGGCTATGGGTGTAGAATTGCATAAAGATTCGAAATTCTATCAATCGTGGGAAGATTTCAAAAATAACAATGCCTATGTTAATAAGGTACTCGATTGGAAAATGAAATATGAGGAATCGGAAAACCCCGTCATTCGTGCTTCACGCCTGCTTACCGATAAAGTCTCCGATGTTATGGGAGGATTGTTTTCGAAGACAGAATTATCTGAAACTTTAACGGAACTGTGTAAAATAGATCCCAACTTTGATCAAAAGCAATTCCTTAAGGATTGTGAAACTGATATTATACCAAATATATTGGAAGCCATGGTTAGAGGAGATCTAGACATTCTCAAAGATTGGTGTTTCGAAAGCACCTTCAATATTATATCCACCCCTATTAGTCAAGCCCTTAAGGCAGGTTTATACTTAGATTCGAAAATTCTAGACATTGAAAATATCGACTTGGCCATGGGCAAAGTAATGGAACAGGGGCCTGTACTAATTGTAACCTTCCAAGCGCAACAGATCATGTGCGTTAGAGAGCGTTCATCGAACAAAGTTGTTGAAGGCGATCCCGAGAAAGTAATGCGTGTCAATTACGTTTGGGTATTATGTCGAGATCCTAACGAATTAAACCCTAAGGCTGCTTGGAGACTAATGGAACTTTCTGCTAACAGTCAAGAGCAATTTGTGTAATATGTATAGGTAAACAACCAACAACTTTTAACTGTTACACCTCCTTGTAAAACTTAGTTCTTAAGTTATTATTATATATAGTAGATATCAAGATGAATTGTGTCTATTTGATAGTTACAAATTACTACTTAGCTCTGCTTTTAAACT